TCGTTTTGTTTCAGGACGTCAGTGGCTGGCCAGGTCGTGACGCTCCGCTGTTTGGTGGACTCAGCAAAATGGCAGATAACTCACCGGGGACTGACCTTCAGGAGGTGAGTGAGATTCGGGAGGCAGCTTTGGGGGGGGGGTTGGGGGGGGGGGGGCAGGTGTCTGTTTTTTGCTGTCCCGCTCATGAATCGCGCTCCGCCGCACTTCATTCTCCTCAGTCGCTCTCCCAACGAGAGGCGCCTTTGTTCTCGCAAAGATGGCGACTGGTTTTCGGCTGCCATAACGGCGTCACGTGTCACCGCAGGACGACGGCGGCGGCCCCGCGGCCAGAAGCGCCTCGCCCAGGCGCCGCGCCTCCTTCTCCAGCAGGGACTCGGATCGCACCGAGCAGCAGGCCGCCATTAAGAGACACGCCTCCAGTGAGTAAACGATCCCTCATTGGTCATTGGTCACGTGTGAGTGACCCGCCCGCCCGCTTCTCAGGAATGCTGGAGGAGTCTCATTCGTGACGACCCCAATGATGGCCATCGGTTCTGACGCTCTGATAACCGTGAGCAAAAATAGGACCTTTTTTTTTCTCAAAGCGGAGGCGGATGTGCTAACCAGTCGAACGCCGTGCCGCCAAAGGAGTTCTCGTCTTCACTTTGAAAAGAACAAAAAACAAAAGTTACATTCTTAATTCTTCTTGTCACCGGTGAGCTCTTTTTCGAGCAGACCCGCTGGCTACTCATGTTGCCTCACGAGTAGTCGCTGGCATCTCTTTATGGGTTGTTTTTGTTTTTTTTTTTCCCCCAAATGCATCTGCGTTTGCCGTATCTGATCTCGCTTGCTCCCTCCTCCTCCTCCTCCTCCTCTTCCTCGGTTACGTCTCGAGAACTCGTGCCAAAAAAGGAATTGGAGGCAATTCTCTTCAAAGAGGCGGCTTGTTGAGCCAATCTTAGAAGTCAGCTCCCCAGGAAATGAAAGAGCAGCTCATTAGCGGAAACCTTGACTTTGAGTCGTCCAAGCGCTCGTTGGCGCTCATTGACCGTTGCTCAGGGGCCACGTTTTGCCTTCCAGACGTCAACCAGTACGCCCGCTACGGGAAACTGCGCGCCGAGGACGACGCCAGGAGATACGTGACGCAGCAGGCGGAGCTGGAGAGGCAGAAGGACGCCCTCAGGCGCGACCTTCACGCCCTGCGCGCCGACAGGAAAAACTTGAAGGAATCGAAGGACGGTCGCGTCGCAGGTGAGTAGCGTGCGTGTCCGTGTCCAAAAAGTGGCCTTCGGTCAGCGCGCGTTATCTGCATCTATTTCTGTGCGTTGTATCCGTTTGTGCGCGCGCAGACGCCGCCGCCGAGCGCCGTCTTGTCCAACTGGAGGCGCTGTGCAGGCAGAAGGAGGAGGAGCGGGTGGAGCTTGAGCTCCAGCTGACCCGGGTCAAAGAAAACCTCAACAAGTCATTGGCCAGGGGCGCCATCGTGGCCCCGCCCGCCAGTGCCACCCAGGTAGCGAAGGGGGGGGGGGGGATTGATATCGCGCTTTCTCAATCGCGCTCCACTAAAAATGAGAGTGCTGTTGAAAATATGCGAAGTGACTCAAACTAAATTCGACCTTTTGTCCATTCATTTCGTACCTGGGCTTTTGACAAATATACAGAAGAAGGAAGGTCCAACAGTCATTTGGGATTTGTCGTTTACTTCTTGCACGATACCTTTTCAGACTTTTTTCATCATGCAAGTAATAGTCCGTATGCTTAAAAAAAAAAAAAGAAAAAAAGCCCTAATGCCAAAACTATAACATCGAAAGTAAAACAAAGCATTTTGGGAAAATGAGGAAACGAACAAAGCTGCCAATTCAAGCTGACGGAATGAGACCCCCCCCCCAAAAAAAAAAAAAACCTGGAATGAAAAATCCAAAGTGATGATGACCCCCGCCCCAATTCGTTGTCAGGCAAATTGTGGCGATGACAGCGCTAAGATGCGCGCGTGTGTGCAGGTGTGCGGCAGCAAGGCGCGTGACGTGTCCGACCGCGGCGGCGCCGTTCCCGTCAACTCGGCTTCAGAACTCCGCAAGCGCCTGCCGTCTCTGGACGCCTCCTCCAAGGGGAACGTCATGCAAAAGGCCAAGGTGAGCGGATGGATGGCGGCCTTCTTGCTCGCTTGCCTTCATGCTCCTGATTGCCAAAGTATCGAGCCATAAACTTGGAAAGCGCTTTCGAAAAATCAATACTGCTCATCAAGCCGCCGTCGCCCGAACGGTCTGCCGGGGTGCCGTCGCGAAGCCTTTGTACGGGACTCCTCGCCACCGCTGCCCTTTTGCAGGAGTGGGAGTCCAAGACGCGCACGTGAAGATGCCCGCGTGGGACGGCGGAGGGCCGCGGGCCGACGCCGTGTCCTTCGACGCCGACGCCCGCAGGTGAGGAAAGGCCCCGCCCCTCCTCCCGCCCGGACCTCGTTTGCAAAGTGCGGGAAGGACGACCAAGCGGCGGCGCCCCCTGGCTTCCGATCGGGCGACTTGAATGCCTAAATTATTGCGACGATGACGATGTTATGCTGCTGCTGCACTTTATGGAATCAAACTAAAAAGGCCGAGTCGACGCCCACTTTGTCCTCTTTCTTTGAGTGAGGAGCGGCGCCGCCGCCGCCCGGCGTGCCGCGTGTACCTCCCGTGTATCGCGCTGTTCAAAATGCGCGCGAGCGGCAACTTGTTGACGTTTTATTCAGCGCATGTGAAATACAGTCCGCGGCTCCCTGTCCGTCACAAGGGTCCCGCTTCGACCACTCGCGTCTCACGCGGCAAGACCGGCGGCGGCGGCGGCCACCAGCGGGAACAAGCTCGGAAAGCGACAAACAAGAACTCGACGATGCCGTCGGCGGAGGAGTTGGGGCCGAGCGCCGAAGGGACTCCCGGGCCGTCGACTTTGTCGAAACGGAAGAAAAAAGCCGCCGCGGGGCGATGGGACGGCAAATACAAATGGTGCCCGGTTACAACGCCGACACGGCTAAATATCGAAAGAGTGAGCGCGGACGGAGAGCGCAAATGTCCTGAGTGAGCTGAACGCTTTGGACTCGGAATGCTTTGATTGGGTTGAGAAAGGCGGAACGATGACTCCGCCTAGTTGGGGAAAATGTCACAAAAGCCGCCAATTCTTGGAATGTGGAGAAACGCTTGGCGCTGTCTTTGGAAGCAACGCTGTGACACTGCAAAGCGGTTGCTCACGATTTCTCTCTTTTTTTTTTTTTTTTTTTTTTTTGAAAGGGGAGATGTGTTCCAAGATTTGCCGTATTTGGAAATACGCGATGATTGAAGTCTGTCCAATGTCTCCATTCATGCGGGCAGAATGATGAAGCGTTTGCAGCGCTTGCCAAACGCGGAATGAGGCGGTCCAATCACCCAAAAAGTCGCAAGGCCCAAAAAGTCAGCGATCTGGAGAAAACGGTCGCAGACGTGTGGCCGCTGAACAAATCGATGTTGGAATGGTTGCAATTGGTTGATTTGTGTCCGGGGATTTTGGAACTTCGTGAAATGCGGTTCTCAAGGCGTCCCCAATGAACGCTTTGACGCTGGCCTTGCGGCGCCGGGGGGCCGACTTTGCCAAACGTCTCCGTTCATTTGCCAGTTTGGCGGCGGAAAGGTGAAATGTTGCGGTTTGCCACGAATTGTCTGGCGACCGGCGGGGCGGCCATCTTTGTGGTCGGTCAGCGCACGCGCGCGCCACACCTTGCCGGCGGCTCCCAATGTGGCCAGTGCCGGCTGCGCCGAAACATGGCCGCCTGTTTCCTAGCGATGGCCCGCGTTCCTCTTTGGTCGCACCTTCCGTCTGTGGGCCGATTGTCATTCCGCGCCTGCGTGTGGCTGTCTCGGGGGTGGCTCCCCCTCCGTTGTTGTCCGGATAGATTTCTCCCAATGAAGCTCCTCAACTCGCTTCGACGGCTGCTTGGCACCAAGATGCCACAAGATGAGCCAAAAAACACAAAATCATGGAAGACATGGATACAAAAAAACCCCCCCCCCCCCAAAAAAAAAAAATCTGCCAGTTATTGGTTTGTAGTTGGGGAGAGATTCTTCAAGATGGTGGCCAAGCGCTACTTTTGTCTGAATTGGCTCCTCAACTCAGTGCAAAAAAAAAACGAACAATCGGTGGGCGCTCACACCCCAAAAGTGGCGAATCGCCCCCCTCCCCTTTCCAAAAGGTTTCTGATTGCCTGCGGATGTCAGCCAAATTCACACCTCGAATGACTTTGCCGTCGTTCCTCGGCACCAGGATGGTGCGTGATGCGCACAAAAAGAGCGACTCGTCCATAAAAGCTGTCTCGTTGCCAGCGCGGCGCGACTTTTTGTGGAAACGAAGCTCCTCAACTGACTTCAACATAGTTTCTCGCCGGCAAGATGGGGCACGGTAAACACAAGAACAGAGGATGTAGATGCATGTGTGTGGTTGTGTGAGAGTCGGGTGGGCTAGGACAGGTCGTCGTTGCTCGCCGACTTCCCTCCGTTGAGCAGAGCCGAAGCGCTGCGACTTTTGGTCGGCGTGCCGCTGCTTGAGCGCGACAACTCCGTCAGGTCGTGAAGGGACGGCTCTCTGTACATGGCCACTGCGCGCACACACACACACACACACACAGACAGACAAAAGCGGTGAACAAGCAGCAGTGAATCAAAATCTTTCGTAGGATTTCATGATGTCGATCCAATGATTCCATTCTGGACGCTCACAGATTTTCCTTATTTTTTTTTTTTCTCCTCTCTATTGACTATTTTCAGCTGTACAAAACCCAGGCCGGAGTTTGAAAAAAATGGGACAAAATTTGGGCCCCCGAAGATGGTCAGAAAGCGAATGGGAGAAAAATCCCAGCGACGTTTGCGTTGTCTGATGACCGTTACGTGCAAAGGTGGTCGTATCATCCGCGATGCAAGATGGCTGACAAGGAATCCAAGATGGATTTTTGGAGCGCAGTGCGTCTTTGGCTTGGATGATACACCTTTCAAAAGCTTTTTTTTTTTGTTTGTTTTTTTTCTCCTCTTCATGCGTGGGGTCTGTCACAGAGAACGTTTTAAGATTGGAAACGGACGAAGCGCTACCCGGCGGCGCCTTACCTTTGAGCGGTTTGGGAATGAAGTGCGCGGCCGCCTTGTTCTTCTTGACGTGGTTGCCCTTCATGACGGCGCCCTCCTTGTTGAGGCCCAGGTACCACGAGCGGCCCGACGCCTGCTGCCGGTACAGCATGGACGAGTAGGTCACGTAGTAGTTCTCGAACACCGACTCCTTGAACTTGCACTCAGCCGTGAAGTGTTCCTGCGCGCGGGAGGGCGGAGTCGTCAGGCGGGGGGCGGGGCCCACCTTTCACTTTTCATCATTCCCGCGTCTCCGTGGCGACCGGCTACTCCCCGGAATACCGAGTGGATGCCCGGGGCGCTGGTGCGGTTGCCGGGGGAAAATGGCGGCGAGAGTGGATGCGAGTGCAGGTGTGTGTGCGTGTGTGTGTGTGTGTGTGTGTGTGTGTACATACAGAGGTGTAGAGGAAGCCCTCGCAGTTCATGGCCAAGTACAGTTTGGTTTGGACGCCCTGGATGGCGACCACACGAAGTCCCACGGGGATCAGATTGAACACAGCTGTTGGCGCACACACACACACACACACACACACACACACACACACACACACATTTGTGAGCGTGTACGTCGCATTTTTTTGTGACTTTCCATAAGGCTGCTTGAGTCTTTTTTTAAATATTTACATGGAGCATTGAGTAGCATGTCGTCGCACCTTCTTTGACCCGACGAGTAGGACAGTTCAGCGCACTAGCAGACACGATTGCGTTTTACCAGTCAAAGTGTTTCCCCCGACTACGTTTCTGCACAAGTTTGGTTTACGAGTCGGACGACTGCTGCTTACGGGACGAGTGGTGCTATAGGGTGCCCGTGGGGCGCCACGCGTGTCTACTCGTTGGACCTAGCGGTCTTCCTAGTGCACTTGGAAGGAGGGATGGGCGAGGAGCGAAAACAGGTGTCGTTATTGGCACGATACCGGCCTGATTTGGAGGCGTCGGGTACCGGCGGAGGCCGCCGATACCAGCCACCGAGACTCGAGGCAAACATTGTCGACGTCCTCTGGCCAGTCGTCACCCCGATACTCTGGCACTCGGACAAGTCGGCAACGTCATCGTCCGCATGCGTCGCAAAGAGCTTTTGCCCGCGGCGTTAAGTGAGTCTGTGAGGACGACGAGACTTTGCTTGGTGCGGCGTGTGCGCGCGCTGACCGTAGGCGGCGTCGTCTTCTTTGGTTCCGTCGATGGTGCCGTCGGGCTGAAGCTGCAGCTGGAAGCCCTGCCGACTGGCCAGTCGCGTCACGATGCCCTTCAGCTGCGGCTCTGTTCACCCCCCACCACCACCAAAAAACAGAAAAAATGACCATCGGCATCCCGGTCAACAATCGCCAGACTGCAGCTCGCCGTTTAATGTCGGGACACGCGAACGGACGGGAAGTGCCGCAGCCGCGGAGGGGAACCCGGAAGCGGAGCAGCGGGCGTACTTCGCCGGCGGCCAATCAAAGTTGAGATGCCGATCACGATCAGGAGGACGGAGCTCACCTGGCGGCCTCCTCCGCTTCCTCTTCTTGCGGGCGCCAAACAAGTTGACGCGCGCGAACACGTTCAGTTTGCCGTCGGCGCCGTCGTTGGCGGCGTCGCCGCCGAGGCACGCGCTCGCCTTCTCGCGTTCCCGCGCTTGCCGCTTCTGGCGCATCAGCGAGCTGGCGATGGCCGCCGCGCGCGACATGTCGTGGGGGGGGAGGGGGGGTGAGGCGTTCACCGCCGCGATGCGTCGGCGCGCGTCTTCGAGTCCATTGGCGCGCTTCGCCAATCTGCGAAGGACCCCCGACGACCCCCGCGCATGGCTCCTCTCACCCCCCCCCTCGCCTCGGCGACGCCTCTCAGCCTGGACGACCTCCGAAGGTGCGCGTTGTCACGGAGCGCGCGTGTGTGTCTGGGTGTGCGCGCGCACGAGTTTTTTACTCGATTGATGGGTGGGTGTGTACGCGAACGAGCGCGCGCCCATCTCTGTGAGTGAGCAAGTTTTCGTATGTGTGTGTGTGAGAGATGAAGATTTTGCGCAGCTGCAGTGAACCCACCCCCATGCACACACACACAGCCGCTCCTCGCCCCTCCCAGTCCTTCTGTTTGTCAATGAAACGAAGCGGCATTCATAAAAAAAGAACCAAAAAAAAAAGGCACGGAGGAGACCAAGCGATGAAGATGGAGAAGGTTGCAGCTGTGTGTGTGTGTGTGTGTGTGTGTGTGTGTGTGTGTGTGTGTGTGTGTGTGTGTGTGTTCCATGTGAACGGGAGGTGCCGTGCTGCTGTTTTGGTGCAGAGGTGCTGCAAGAAAAATACACGCACTCTGGCACAGCCTAACACACACACACACACACACACACACACACACATATCCGTTTCCCGTTCTCGTCAGTTTTCCACTCTTGGTTCGTCATCTGACTCGTACCTGATGGCGTCCACCAGAGGGCGCTGCTCCCAATCCGGTTTGCCTCCGGCCGGCTCACGGGACCGCATTCGGCTCGGATCGCGACTCGAGCAAGTGCAACGCGGAGTTGGCGCCGGCGTGAGGCGGAGCGACGCCAAAGACGAAACAAAGTCAGAGGTAGCATCCCCGAAAACGTTCACCGTCCCAACGTGCCGGAAAGAAAAGCATCAATGGCACTCGCTTGACGCTAACGTATCATGAGACATACGAACGGGAACGAGCGCAGATCTCGTCATTGTCAACCTTCAAAGGCTTCGGAATTCCGGGAGAGCTCAGTGCTGCCCCCCCAACCCCAAATATCCCGTCCTTTCCCTCCCGTCGCCCGCCCTACCTGAGGTGGATCTGCGAAGAGGGAAAGTCATGGTGCGCCCGCGGAGCTCCGGAGCGTCTGCGCTCCTCCTGGCGTTTGGCAACTTCCCGACGACCGAGGGGCAAAGTTACGAGAGCGCTCCGTTCTCTCCGGGGCTCCGAATCCATTAGGCCCGCCCGGCCGATCGTTAGAGGACATTAGAGGCCATTAGGACTTCATCAATCTTTCATTGCCGGGGCGGAGGCGGGACGCTTCCCAAATCTCGAATCCCACCTGCCGCTCTTTTGTGCCTGGCCTGCCTTTCGCGCCGGCTCATTTTCAACGGCGCCCCCAGCAGGCAAGGGCAACGCCCTACGCCCGCCCCAAGGACCAAAACGCTCAACGGAGTTGGAGGGCAACACAGAAATTGGAATGTTACTCTGGAGCTGCGAAGGGAAAATTAGACAGAGATATTGTGTGTGTGTGTGTGTGTGTGTATATATACTGTATATGCACACACACACACACACACACACACACACAGTTTTGTACACAATCCAAACATGAATGTGCACACATCAATACACACACACACACACACACACACACAGTTAATGGTGTTTCCTGCATGGCCCCCATAATAGCACAAATTACATATCGGCCACACTGAAGTCGACGTCCATTATCCTGTGACCCGACTTGCTGTTAAAACACACACACACATACACAAGCGCGCGCGCGTCTCGAAAGTGCTGAAGCAAGAAAGCAAAAGTTGCAGCGAAGGAAGACGCCCACTCAGCAAGTTGAACTTTCAAACCGCGCGACGCTCAACCGTCAGAAGAAAGTCGAGAGCCAAAGGCCAATGTTGTCGTTGGACGCCGTGCATCGTGCGCCCGCCCGTATCTTCCAGCATGCGTACGGGACACCGGAAACATGCGGCATGAAACGTACCTCACAGAAGGCATAAAACGTCCGATCTTTGCACATGTGGCGCGTCACGTTCTGAAGCTAGCTAACATTCATGTGGTACGGAACACGTGGAGCAAGACGGGCACCGGGTGTCACTTTGTCGGCAACTTTGACAACACGTAAGAAACTTTCCGTCGTACAAGGCGCTGTCGGATGCGACATCGCCGTCTCCGCCGAAGAGCTCGGGAGTCGGCGGCCATTTTGAAAGTCAGAGCTACCGCGTGTCATCGCGACGGTGCGATCGCTCGCGGTCACGTTCTGCATCGTCGAGGCGGAGTGTATCGGGGTCAATGCGTAAAGAACGCCACGCCGTCCGTCGGGCGCGTCATCAGCGACGAGTCGTCGTCATGCGTGTGCAGCGCGATTGTCGTCGCGCCTTCATTTTCAAACATTGGCCAGCGTGTGTGCGCGCGCTGACATCAACGCTTTCAGGGTGAAGCGGAGCGACGCGCGTCCGCTTTTTGACTGCGGACACTGACCCGAACGTACACGCGGAGTAAACATTGCGTGAGCGCGTCGGTGTACTTTGGCTCGCAGCAGCGCACATTGAAGATGGCGTCCGTGCGGTTGGGGTTGCTGCTGCTGCTGCTGACAATCGGAGTCCAGGCCGCCGCCGACGACTTTGAGGGAAACGCGCGTGAGTGACGGGACGGCGACGGGGGCGGGCCGACACGATGTAGCTCAGAGTTGACGGCGACCTTTGGCGACCTGCGGCCTTCGCGTGAAAACAAAAGATTTCTTTGGACGGCAGGAGCCTCTTTCGAATGCAACGAATCGCGATTGTTCCCGACGTCTTTCGCCCGTCCGTCCCAGTTGACGGAACAACTTTTCCTTTTTCTTTGCGTTCCAAAGCGATCGCGTTCCACGTTGACGAAACGCTCCGAGAAAGCGCAATTCCAAACGCATTCGGTTGCTCGGGGAGAAAAAAGGGCCGGCCCAAACGCTCGACGTCCGGCGTGTGTTTTGTTTGCCCCGGGCAGGCGACGTGCGGCTGCCGCGGCGGGCGGCCTCCCAAGTGCTGCGGCGCCAACGGCGCTTCAACGCCGGCCCCTTCGAGGAGATGTGGGCCGGCAACCTGGAGCGGGAGTGCCGGGAGGAAACGTGCGACTTCGAGGAGGCCCGCGAGATCTTCGAGGACGAAACCAAAACGGTGAGCCCGCTCGCGTGGAACGCCCTCCGTCGATTCGCGTGTCGTCAGCGCGTTCGATGAGAAGAACTTTGTGTCATCGGCGTCACGTGATCATGTCGAGGAAATCGGGTCCGCCCTCCTGCTATTTTGCGGATTGCCCTCCCGCCCCCTCCCCGCACCGCAGGTGAGTAACGCGGTTTTGGTCTGACGCGCGGCGATATTGTGCGTCATTCAAACGTTGAGCACTTGATGGCGACGCACGCCGGAGTTTTGAGACGGTTCCCATTTGAAAGGTGAAGAACCGGAACGCTTGCGGGACGCCGACGGAGCGGCAACGGCGCTCGGTTGGTTCATTTTCCGAGGCGCATCATTTGGGCCACGGTGAGCCTTTGGAGTTTTTCGTCACGGGATGCGTTCGCTTCTTTGATTTAGATTCAACATCAAAAGGGCATTTCCGAATGACAGTAGACGTAGAGAAGCTTTTTTTTTTTTTTTTTTTGTCTTAGTCACTGCATTCTGTGGATTTTTTTTTAAAAAGTCTCTCGAGGGCTCGGAGCGGGACCACGAGGTGGCCGAGGAGGTGGTCCACGAGTCTGGAACGTAAGCCCCGCCCATCGCGAAAGCGTCACACGTCGCGCGGCGTCGTCGTCGCTTTGTCTTCCGGGGTCGTCGTCCAGCCGCGTTTTGCCGTTCGAGGCTCGGCGACGGTGGAGCCGTGCGAGCGCCGCGGTCTCTCGTCTGTCGCGGGGATGTCTCACCAAGGCAACTTTTGTCCTTTCAGATGCAGTTCTGGGCCGGCTACGTCGGTAAGACGCCGTCCCCTTGCCTTGCCTCGCCGCTCCGCGAACGCGTGCGTCCGGCCGGGCTCGCTCGCCCGCGGCTCGTCGTTGCGATCGGTTTCTCGAGTCTCTCCTTTGGCTTCGCTTTCCCGCTCTTCCTCACGCATGACGAGAATGCGGACGAAAGCGCGTTTTGGCTCATTTTGGCTGTTTGCGTGCCTATTGGTTCGCTTGTTAACATGCTTGCGTGTGTTTGCGACAGACGGCGACCAATGCAAGCCGCCCCCCTGCCAGAATGGCGCCGACTGTGAGGATGGCGTCGATTCGTACGTGTGCTGGTGTAACAGCAGCTTCACCGGAAAGAACTGCGAGATCGGTGAGCGCCGCCCGCAAACAAACAAACAAACACGCACACTTGGGACCCCCGCCCCGAGCGCGCCTGGCAATTTGGTGGCCGGGAGTCACGGCGCGGGCGGAGACGCCCGCCGACGGATCGCGCCCTCCGCCGACGTGCGGGCGCGGGGATGGAAGGCGGCGGTCTCCGGCGACGTCACCTGCGAGTTTCTTGGAGTTTGCGCGCGTCCGTCTCCTGCGCAGACTGTGGCGAGTCCGCTTGAGCCGAGTCGACGGCTCAGCTCTCCTGCGGTGGATTTCGAGGGAATGAGGCGAGCCGCCTCCGTTGGCGCCCCTACCGAAGCGCGCGCGGCTCGGACCGCGGAAAGAAAGCTTGGGTCGGCGCTCCGCGCGAGATTTGTCCATTTGTGTTCCCCCCGCCAGAGGTCTCCAAGCAGTGTTCGGTCAACAATGGCGGCTGCGCTCACTTCTGCACCATGAAGTCCAACGCGGTGCAATGCAGCTGCGCATTGGGGTACAAACTGGCAGACGACCTTGCCTCTTGCGAGGCCACAGGTGAAACTCGGACGCAGCGCGCGCCCTCCAACATCTCCGCGCGCGACTGGAGGTGTCAGGAAGCATTCGGGTGTGCGCGCAGGCAAGTTCAGCTGCGGCGGGACGGGCGCCGCATCCGCCCTGACGCCGCGTTCGTCAAACGGGACCGACGGCGAGCCCGACGCCGACGTCATCCCGGACGAGTGGTTGGACTACGAATACGAGGAGGAACCCGAGCGCGGCCACAATATCTCTGCGGGGTCTCGGCTCAGGCGTCGCTCGGCGAGGAGGGCCGGCGAGCCGCCGCCGCCGCCGCCGCCCTCATATCGCTCCTTCTTCCCCACACTGCCCACCATCACGGCGAAGGAGAACAGCGACCAGCGGATTGTGGGGGGCTACGAGGCCAAAGCGGGAGACTTTCCCTGGCAGGTATGGTGCGCCCCCCCCCCACCCCAAGCAGCCGGCCCCCCCTGACCGCGGCGCTTCCGCAGGCGGCGCTGATCTCGCACTCGGCCAGGCGGACGGAGTCGGCGCCGAAACCCTTCTGCGGCGGCTCGCTGCTCAGCGAGCTCTGGGTGATCACGGCGGCGCACTGCGTCGTGGAGGCCCGGATGGCGGGAACCACCTTCTTCGTGCGACTGGGTGAGACCCCGACGGGCCGACCGAAACGCCCCGAGCGGGTCTGTGACAGCCACTTGCGGGCCACGGCAACGTTTGGCCTTTGGGGATATGCCACGAGCGGGCCCGCGCGCGTATTCGAGAAGCCCGCGGCTCAAATTGGCAGCAGGAACCGCTTCGGTTGCCAGGGCGGCAAATTCCAAAGTCGCCGAGTAACGGCGCGTCCTGCTGGCACTTTGAAGAAGGGCGGCGTTCGAGAGGAGAAAACCAGTTGAAAAATTGAGGGGTGTCGGCGGCGCGCGGAATGACGGCGCTGCGGTCTGGCCGGCAGGCGAGCACAACGTGAGTCGGCCCGAGGGCTCGGAGCGGGACCACGAGGTGGCCGAGGAGGTGGTCCACAAGTCGTACAAGTTCCACAAGTCGCGCTTCAACCACGACGTGGCGCTGCTCAAGCTGGCGGCGGCGGCGGAGCTGTCGCCGCGGCGCCGGCCCGTCTGCCTGGGGCCCGCCGCCTTCACCGAGTGGTCCCCTTCGTGGAGCGCGCCGTCTGCAAGGCCAGCAGCCGCGCCCGCATCACCCCCTTCATGTTCTGCGCCGGCTTCCGCGACCGCAAGGAGGACGCCTGCCAGGGGGACAGCGGCGGCCCGCACGTCACCCGCCGCCACGACGTCTGGTTCCTCACCGGCGTGATCAGCTGGGGCGAGGGCTGCGCCGCCGCCGGCAAGTACGGCGTCTACACGCGCGTCTCGCGCTACTACGCCTGGATCAGCAACACCACCGGCGTGCGCACGTACCGCTGAGCGACGGGCCGGCGCGTCCTCGTCTCGACTCTCCGGCCGCCGCCTTCTCCTACGAGCGCCCGCTTCCCGCTCTTCTGCCCCCGTCGGCTCATCCGCAATAAAGACCGAGTCGGCTGTGCCAGTGCTTTTATTGCGTGAGTCCTCGCGGGATCGACCGAGTGCTTTCGAAGCGAGCGCCAAATGGAGTGAAAATGGCAAGACGGGCATCAGAAACGCCGGCAAAGCGCCGCGGGGCGCCGAGGCCGACCGGGCGCCCCCGGCCGCTCCTCGCATGTAAGGCACTTGTGACGCGCTTCGACGGCGACATTCCACGTTTGCTTGAATGTCCTACGTGGAGGCTCGGAGGCCGAGCGCTTCGGCACGTGGCGAGCTAATGCCGGTGATGACGAAGGAGGAAGTGGCGATGCGTAGAGAAGCTGCGACGGCGAGCAAGGTGACGTCTCCGCTCCGAGCGCCTCTCAGCGCGTCTCCCCCAGAATCCGATGCAGGTCCGAGGGCGGGACGCGCCCCTCTTGGTCCCGGCTCTCGTTGCGCACCAGCCTGATGCCGGCGCGCGGGCGCGTCCGGGACACGCGCGGACCCACAAAAGAGACACGTAGGGTCACGCAGAGACGCACGCGCGCGCGCAACAAGGACGAGCGCAGGCATGTCCAGCCCCGGTCGTCGAGGGCCGCCGTCCTGCCCGTTCTGCATCTGCGCCCGCTTCAACACACCCGATTCAGACGAGCAGCTCATCGGCGAGCTCCGATCACCGCCCCGATCGTTTGTATCGGGCGATGGACGGAAGACGGGCGGGACGAGCGGCCCTCGGGGACCGAGTTTGGACGCGCGCTCCGCGGCCCGAGCGGGCGTAACAAGCCACTGACCACTTTCCGTCGTCGTCGCGGCGCAGCGGCCGGATGACGTCGCCGCGCGCGAAGGCGATGCCGTCGCCGCTCGCCGAGCAGCCGGCCGCCAGGATTCGGTAGCGACCCGCCTCCTGAAACGAGAGCGGCGGGTTGGCCGGACGGCAAAGATAGCGAACGGGGGGGCCGGCGTCTCCACCACCCACCAGTGACGCGGGCCGCTCCCCTTCCCCCGCGTCGTCCGAATCGGACACGTTGGAGGCGTCGGCGGCGCCCCAGTCCTCCGGGCCGTCGCCGATGTCCGAGGAGGGCGCCGCTGCCGCAAAGGAAAGATGGAAACGTGAGGCCGGGAGGTGAGGATTCGATGCCCAGGAAGTCAGCGGCGTGCGTGCGGGCGTTGCATTCGAGGGCGTCTGGACACGAGCGCTCATGTGGGCCGCGCGTACTCACCGCTCGGGGACGGGCGCGCTGCGGGGTCGCCGGTGTTCGCCGACTCCTCCCATCCGGTGGGGTGGGCGGGGCTGGAGTCTATCAAACGGCGAGCGCGTCAGCACGCCGCGAATCCAAAGAGGCTGACGAAGAATGGCCGAGACGCGTCACCTTGGCGCGGTCGGCCGATGATCTTTTGGATCTCCGCGAGCCACGCCGCCTTCACCTCCACGCTGGGAGCCTGCGCGGACGTTGTCAAAGCGTCACTTGAACGTCCCATCGGTGGAGCGTGCGGTGCGAGAGGGGCACCTGCAGGACGTAGACCTCCTGGGTTTCTCGGTGGCACAGTTCAAACTTCTTGGCGTCTCCTTTGACGTTTTCCGCCAGGCTCACCGAACTCATCTGCGCAGAGAAGCCATGCGCGGATTTGCGGGGCGCCGTCGCCCATTTTGTCGCAAGAGGATTCCCGTGACCGATTCGTCGGCCGATGACGTGGGACGGGGACAACCAAGGGACTGCGAAAATCCAGGATTTGTTTTTTTCTTTGAATTTCGTCCTTTTGGTCTTGTGTCATGTCAAAACGGAACCCACGAGCGGGCCGACGAATGGGCGGGGCCCCGACGGCCGGGCGCGGGTTTTCTGCGCCGTACGTACCCCGAGGCAGGACTTGAAGCTGTAGACGGGCGAGCGGCCGCGGTCGTCGCGGCGCTTGCAGCACACCAGCGCCCGCTCGTAGAGGAAGACGTGGCGCCGGGCGCCTTTGAAGCGGGCCATCTCGCGCATGCGTGCCGCCGGCGCCCTCTTGTGGCTGCTCCACACGCTGAAGCCGCCCTGCAGAAGCACGCGGCCCAGCGGGCCCAGCTCGCCCTGCCGAGCCAGCCGGCCACACGACAGCGCGTGGGCGCTCACGTCGCCCTCGTTCCTTGGGGGAAGCGAGCCTCCCTTCCGCGCGTCTTATACGGAAGATTGCTTTGCCCCCTCCACCCCCCCTGGGAAGCCACGGACCGAAATGCTTTGCTGCCACCGTGTGGCTTCCACCCGCAATGACGGCAAACACTGGCACATTTGGGCCATTCGGGACGTCTCGCCGCGTTCGATGGACCCTTGTGGAAATGAAGAGAATTCAGCGCACGGGAAGGGATGGAGCCGTAAGTCGGGGGAGCCTCCGGATGTCGGATTGGCCGAAGGTTTCATTTTTTTTTTTTTTTTCTCCTCGTGACGTTTGATTGACAGCTGCTCTAGACGCTGATAAAATGGGATCGGCGGCTACGGATGGCATCCGATCGACAGCTCTTGATTCGACGCGATTGGTTCTCCTTTCGTGACATCGTCCCCATGAGGTGTGACCGGCACCACGGGGGGGACGTTTGCTTGACCTTTGACCCCGGCCCCGCTCGACGGCTACCTGATATCCGACGATGGCGATCTGGTGCATGGAGTCGTTGACGGACTTGAGCAGGTCCAGCATGCAGTCCAGCGCCTCCTGCAGTTGCGCGCGGTACCGCGGCTCGTCGCAGTGCTTGAGGAGCTCCTGCGGGCACGGCCGTGTGATGAGGCGCCTTGTCGGCGATGCGCGCGCGAGCGCGCGTGCGACGGCAACCTTGAGGATGAGCTGATACTTGGCGAGGCGCTGGATGGGCTTCAGGAGGTACGAGTCCAGAGAGAGCTTGTGCTCCAGCTTCCTCTGGCACTCCTGCGTCCAAGACACAGTGCGGCGGCTTCACGCGCTTGCCCGTAATCACCTCCGGGACGTACGTGACGACGAAAAACCGCGGCCGTAAAATCCCGCGCGTCAGCCCAAATCGCGACGACACAAACGGCCCGACGCGATCACCCTCCCGGCCTTTTCGCTTTGCTAATGACCGCCACCTTTTCCCGGCCGCTCCTTTCGCTCGGCGCGCTCTTTCCGAGCCCTGGGCGGCAAAACTCAACAACACAAACTGTGCGATCCGCCCATCGTATCGAAATCTGTCGGTGAAAGAGCACGTGAGCGTTCCGATCGAGTCGGTCCATTTCAACCATCTGGCTTCCTCTCGCACGTGTCAAAAAAGGCGCCAGCGCAAATGTGAGCAGAGGATGGGAATGGAAAGCGGCAAATCGGGGCAGCGGACCACAGAGAGGGGGGAAAAAAAGTCAATTTTTCCGGTCGATTGGGAGGGGCGCGGATCATACGTGGGATTTTTACAAGGCCGCCCAAAAATTGCACGCGGAACGTAAAACACAAACAATCACAGAATGCACATTGTGTTCATTCAGACGCAGGAAAACAAACACCCACTCCAAAGTACAAAGTACACAGCTGCCCCCCCCCCCCACACACACACACACACACACACACACTGACACACCTGGAAGAAGGCCGAGTCCGAGCACTGGTTCCATAACGACTCAGAGTGAGGCTTGTTCTGGCAGTAATGCTCGTACAGCTGGAACTTCTCCTTCTACACGCGCACAAGCACAAGCATGTCAAGATGTTTGTTTGTTTGTTTCTTTTTCAGGGGGGGGGGGCACGGAGCGAGCGGTCCTCACCCACTGCAGGAAACACTGGCCGACCCGCTCCGGAGTGTCCAGGCAGCCCTGCAGGTCCCGCAGGAAAGTTCTGGAAGCAGAAGACGCCTTGAGGGGGCGTCCGGCGGCGAAGGGGGCCGCCGTCCCGTCGAAGGTACCTGCTGTGGAACTGGTAGATCTGCGGCATGTTGCCAAAAAGGACGTCCTCGTGACCGCGGAGAAGCGCCGGCAGAAGATCCCGCGCAGACGGGTCCTCCATCTCGGCCCGGTAGCCCTGAACGGACACGCGGCGCCGTCAACGGCCGCGGCGAAAGCGGCCGTTGACGGCGCCGCGGCCGCCTGCCGAGCGCTCACCAGAAGAACGGCGAGGAGCTGCTCCACGTAAAGCTTCTCGGTGGAGATGAGCTCCTTCATGATGCGACTGCGCAGTTCAAGGCAAAGCAAATCAAGACGCCGCCGCCGCCGCCTGTGAGCCGCCTACGCACCTCGTCACTTGCTCCGCCCCTTCCTCCGCCCCGGAGTCGCTGTCGGGGGCGGGGCCATACAGAGAGCTGCGGTTGCCTCGGTAGTCGTGCATCACGTGGATCTGCCGCCGCAAAAACAACCCCGTCGCCACGGTGGTGAGCCTTTCCATCGCTTGTCCGCGCCGCGCGAACACTCGGCGGCGGCGGCCCAACGTTCGTGGCGTCGCCGTCGACGGCCCCTGATCTGGAGTCGCTCGCACGCACCCACCTCGGGTTGGTCGCCGGTCCTCCTGGGGCTTCTCTTTCCCGGAAGCAGATCGAAGGAGAACCTGGAGTTGAGAAGGTTGAAGTCCACCCCTGAAGACAGAACGGAACCAGATCCGGGATGACGCCAGCATTCTGATCCGGATGCCGAAGCGGATCCAGAACAGAATCGGAAGGAGAACCGGGTTCGGAGTGACACCGAAGAACAAGATTCACATCCGCGGTCCAAATGAGAAACCGATGCAGATTTCGATTTGGGGCCACGCCTCCAAGCAGATGCAACTCGGGAGCCCGAACCCCAGCCAGACTCCGACCCAAAAGGGCGGCCGGACCAGAACGCCAAGCCCACACCCGGACCCGGTCGGAGAAGCGCAACCAGAGTCAGAGCGGGTTGGGAATCGTTTGGTTTGAACTGCGGCCGGGGGGGGCGGCGCCGCGTCGGCCTTGACCTACCGTGCTTGGGCGAGAAGAGCGGCGCCTTGGCTCCGTGCGGCCGCGCGGGTTCGGCTTCGGGTCGCGGCGCCACGGGCTGGACGGGTCGGACCCGCGCGTCGGCCATCTTCCGAAGACAGCCCTCGCGGTTGCGGATCATGGCCCGCATGGATGCCAGCTTGTCCGTCGCCGCCGCGATCTGACCCTGGCCGAGGTCACGTGAGCGGCGTCAGAGGAGGCGTCGCTTCGTGAGCCATCCTTGACAATGATGGCCTCATCGAAATGTGTGTGTGTGTGTGTGTGTGTGTGTGTGGGAGGGGGCGACCGAACCCCGGCCACCCCGCCCCATATTGCACTGAGCAAGGAGGGCCGCTCGGGGCCGCTACCTGCAGCTGCGGCGTGAGAATGGCCTCCAACTCCAGACTGAGGACGTCCCCTTTGCTCTCCGGCGCCCTCTCTTGGTGCTCCAGCAGGCACCGCAGGGCCTCCTGAGCGCCTTCCCTGCTCTGGAAGCGATCCACCATCTGACTGGCCAGCAGGTAGGCGCCCTCGTCGCACCAACGCAGAGCCTGCGAGCTCGCACGCGCATACGCACGTCATGCATGGGATGCAAGAAAAAAAGCAAACCCAACGCGCGCCGCACACACGACCCAAACTCACGACACAGTGACTCACCCGGTCCAGCCGCTCCAGCAGGTCCCTCGCTCGCGTTAGCGACGCGCGCTTGCCGCGCAGGCCGCCGCTGATCACGTCGCAGCGATGACGCAACTCGTTGCAGCGCTGCATGATGAGCGCCAGGGCGTAATGATGGCGGGCGGCCAGTTGGTGGCCCCGTAACGTCAGAACCTGAGCGCGGGACGTCACCTCCTGAAGGTGCGCGCACAAATCGGGTGTGAGGGCGCGCGCAAGCGCGGCGCGTATTGCGCGGCACGTATTGCGCGGGCATGCCGGACCTGCGCGCGTTGCTCCAGAGCGCCGAGCTCTCCGATGAGTTGCTCGGTGTGCGGCAGCGTGTTGCCCGCGGCGGGGATGGCCTTCTCCTCGCCTGACATCTTCTCCAGCTCCTCCTCCATCTGTGCACGCATGCACGGGTTGTACCGCGGGGGCGTGTGTGTGTGTGTGTGTGTGTGTGTGTGTGTGTGTGTGTGTTTCGGGGCGTGGCGCACGCGGGCACCTGCTGGAAGTTGCGCTCATAAAGCAGCAGCTGCTGGTACTGCTGCACCTTCAGGTGGTGTTTCTCGAAGAAGCCGTCAAAGGCCTCCTCCATGTCACGCAGCTGAGACAGCAGCCTGCCCACGCGCACAAAAAGACGACGGGGCGCAGATCGGACTTCACCTTGCTTGATGTTTGTCGTCAGGTGACCGCGCTGACCTTTGAACGGTGTCCAAGTCTGACTGGACGTCGTCCTGGTCCTCCGCGGCGTCCTTCTTGGAGGTCTGGAGCGTTTGCAGGTTGTCCAGCAGGAGGCGTCCTTCCTTCAGCACCCCAGCGACGTCGTCCTACGACGACAACAAGAAGAAGAACAAAGGCCGCTCAAGGCCGCGAGACGCGCCGCGCACCTTCATGCGTCGGTAGCGTTGCGTGTGCGAGCGTAGCAGGAAGTCGACGGCGTCGGCTTCGTCCGGGAGTTCGCCGTCCGACAACTCCGAGCCGAAGGCTTGCAGGAGGTGAGCCACCTCCTTCACCGTCACCGCAAAGGTCTCGATGGCCTGCGCACACATTGGGCCGCATCCATGCGCGTGCACGCATATCGGTCACCCATCACACACACACACACACACGCAGAAATATAGCCCATGAACAAACACACAAATGCATACACGACAATGTCCAGTAACGTAGGCTGCGCCTCTCGTCGCGCCGCGCCAACAACCGCGGATGAGCGCCGAGCCGATGAATGTCGCCCGAAGAGCCGAGCCGATCCAAATTGGTTTCTGAACGCTAACGCGCCGATGTGAGTTTGTTTACCGAGCGCAGGACGATCCAGTCGCTCGGGGCGCCGCCGCACGCGTCTGATGTCGGCCGGTTGTTGTCGATGTAGCGAAGCAGGTCGCCCAGCATCAGCACCTGAGAACACGCCGCGTGCCTCTGCGTTACATGAAAAACACCTGACCCAAAATCGCGACTTCCGTTACCGGCATCTTCAACAGGAAGTCATCCTGGCTAAAGCGGAACCCCAGGTCGGTGCTGGACGACGGGCTGGGGGCGGAGCTTAGCAAGGCGGAGGGGTGGAGGACCAACACCAAGTGCAGGTTGCCGGGAAACGAAGTCTGGGGGGGGGGGAGCACAAGTTGTCATGGCAACAGATTTCCAGTCATCACATGTGAAACACGCCCAAAAGCAATTTGCTTTAACATGCTAATGACGCAGTCAAAGGCAGCCGACAAAGGCAAGTTAAATAAAACAAACGTGAAATAAATAACTCACGATATCGCATAGAGAGATTTCTTTCTTTCTTTTTTTTCATCCGCGAGTCTTCATCGTGGATGGACTGCCCGCCCGGCCAGTCGGTCGCGTCACGCGCGCTTTGCTCTCCTTTGCCGCTCTGCACGTCTTGACCGCTTGGGGGCGGTGTGGTGCACACAATCAGATAAGAGCCCGGAGTCCGACGCTCGACCGACCAGAAGGCGCCGACGAAGAAGAAAGAAAAGCGCGCGGGGGATTTGGGGGGGGTCCGAAGCTTTGGCTCACGGGAATGAAGGAGCGGCGTTGCTCGGTGGAAGAGCGACGCGATGGAATGTGGCCAAAAAGTCCACAAAGTCCCGGCCAGGAGTCAGGGAAGCGCGGCTGGGCGGCGGGCGGTCTGAAGCTCGCCAAAATGGGGAGCCGTGACGTTGGTGACGTTATTTCTCTGAGCCCGCCCACCACTCCCACGTCACTTTCGCTCCACGGCGAGTGGCGGCGCCAAAATAAAACGACCGCCTTCACGCTGCCGCTGACTTCCAATTGCGCAAACGCAACAAGAATCGGAATGGAGGCTTTTGTCTTCCAAAAGCCTTCCATGTTGACTTTGGAAAGGCCGAAGCTATTTGAAGTTCTCCGGCGTCCAAGTGGCCGCATTCAGCGTGTCGCGACGCCACACTCCTTCCCACCCAAACGGGGCCACGTCACGTGACTCAGTCCGCGGTCTTGCGGCGCACCACCGCACGCACTTTTCCAAGGTGACACGCATGCGTGTGTGTCTTCGGTTTTTTTTTTTTTTTTTTTTCTCCCTCCCTTTCGCCGGAGCTTACCGCGGCTCGGCGTAGACGCGGGAAGCCCCGCTGCGGCTCGGACTCGGCCATCGGCGCCGCTCGCTTCAGTTGCGCTCTCCGGAAGCGGGCAAGTCCGCAGCGAGACGCGACGAGAAAGAACCGCCAAGCGGGCTCGTGTTGGGCGCACGTGCGCGGAGCCTTCCTCCCTGCGGTGTCCGAGGGTGGGGGGCGCTGCGGCAGGGACGGGCCAGACCGCGGACACCTGATGTCACGGTTGACGTCACCGGGATGTCACCTGACACGGTCGTCAAAAGATGCGAGGTGCACTCATCCGCTAGATGGCGCTGCCTCTCTCTCGCCTCACTAACGTCAGCTTAGGAAGCCGCCGTCATGACAGACAGAGACCAGTAGATGGCGACGTTGCCTCGCTCTGGAGTTGAGATCGGCACAGCTTTTATTTTCAAAGAGGAAGACCGGGAGGCGACTCTCGTCCCCGATGAGCGAGCGAAATGGCAAACAAAATGTTGGAAGTCAAACGGAAGTTGACTTCCAACATTTTGTGACAGCACGCGGAAGGGGGGAGGGGCGGAAGTCGACGCGCCGGCTAAGAGAGGAGAGGATATGGCAAGGGATAGAAACAGACCATCGCTTCGCCCCGCTTGCTTTATCGTGTGTGACGTTTTGTGTTTCAACTTGGGTTGAATCCTGCCTGAGGACCGTTTGAGCTGCCAGGGTGGCGGTCGCCCTCCCGTCGAGAGACGCGGCCAGCGAGAGCAACGAGAATCCAGTGCGCTCCCGGGATGGGGACGCCCGGCCTTTCGTCCCCGGCACGTTCCCGAGAGCCTCTGGGAAGAAAGGGCTTAGCGTCGCGGCGGGTGCACGCGCAAGCCAGATTT